AGCTGCTTTACAAAAGGTGCACGTTATTACTTTACGGTCAAAGCCAGAAAGAGTTAAGGTGTTGTAAATAGGGTAAAAGTATATGCTACTTTTTTGGCTTCTTGTTAAATTATCTAATCAGCCAATGGAGTGGAAGCATATAGACGAGACCCGCTAAAGATCGCAAACCAAATTTGTATTTGTTTGGACCAAACACAACCAATTCAATCTGCTGAATTTTAAACCAAACTTTAGAGGCCTGTTGCACAAAGCAATGTGAACAAACTCTGGGTTGCAGAGTAACAATTAGGTTGATATATCCAAACAAATCCAGTTTGGGTTTGCAATCTTTAACTGAGAATAAAACATGCTCTGGCGCAGGCAACAAAACCTAATCAAAACCTCCTTTATGAATGGGGAAACATGGTGATTTATGTAGCCTTCAATATGACTTGGTTGTGGTGTCAGGTGAGCTATCCTGAATATTTCAGAAATTGCTAATCTGCTGGAATTTCCCACCTAATTATCTCTAGTGTTTACTGAGAATGGGCCAAAACAGAGAAAATATCCGGTGATTGGCAGCTTTGTGAGTGATAATGGTTTGTTGAGGTCAGAGAAGAACGAACAGACCACTTCACTCTGATAGAAAGCCAACAGTAATTCAAATATCTGTTCATTACAACTGACTGAGGTCTGCAGAAGAGCAACTCTGAAAACACAACACAACAAACCACGAAGCAGCGTCATAATTTAACATAAATAGCATGAAAGCATTAAAACAATCCTGCCTTGTATCAATGGTTCAGACTTTGGTTTGACATAAGGTGCGCTGGGGATTTTTTCTGACCACAGTGTACTCATTTTGTTATGTCTATGTTCAGCATAATAACACACTGTCACAAAGCTCAGATCACCTCAAGACTGGTTTCTTGAAGATTAAACTTGAGTTTACTAAACTAAAATGGCCCAGTCACCAGTTTTTTAAAACATTTAATCTGGATCAAATTGGTCCAGATTTGGAAATTCCAGGTTTTGCTCTCCTGTATTAACTGATCTATCTTAATTTATGACAGTTTTTTTAAAGGAACATTTAGTTGGATGACTGTGATCCAAAACCAAATTTCAGGTTTACCAAATCTTGTTTACCAGAACCTTAAATGCAGTCAACAGTGTAGCCTACTGGCTTAGCTAAGAACAACAGGCAAAATAGGTCACAAACAGCCAGTGGTGTAAAGTAACAAATTAAGATTATTCACGTTATTGTAATTAAGTAGTTTTTCTCAGAAATTGTGATTTACTATGTAGTTTTAAAAATGTGTACTTTTACTTTGCCTTGAGTACATTTTTAGCGCTGAATTGGTATTTTTACTCCTTCAATCTGCAGTCACTACTTTATTTTTTCATGTGGATAAAAAATAAGTCCTGGGATTCCTTTCCAATCTAATCACATCATAACGAATACATCAAGACATGGGCGATTTATAATTGCAGCAAACTGTTTGGAAGCAGTAAAAGTGCCAAATAAGATGTTGAAAATCTTCACACACATTGACATAGAGACTGTTTAGATGCATGTCACTGATGAGAAGATGACGGATGTTTACTGTATGATGACCGAAATGGCTTTAAACACCTAACAGGCACAAGACATCAACATGAGTCAGTGTCCAACATCCAACCTGAAATCAACCAAATATCAACGTCTAATACTAACGTCTAAATTACAGCTTGACGTTGTGTGGACGTTCCCACTATGACGTCTACCAGATGTTGGATTTTGGCTGCCATACCAAATAAATAAATGCCACGTCAATATGATGTTGGTTTAAGATGTTGGCTCAATGTTGGATTTTGGTCACTTTCTAACACAACCTAAAATCAACCAAATATCAACGTCATTTGATGTTTTTGTTGGACATCAAAATAATGTTGTCCTTAAACGCTGACGAGACATTGAATTTTGATCATATATCACACCCTAAATCTAACCTAATATAAACGTCTTATGATGTTGTGTGCCTGGTGGGCATTAACTAAATGCACTACAGAATGTTAGTTTACACACATCCACAAATTACTTGTAAATACATCAGCCTTTAACAGCGTAAAAATCACTACTCATAACTCTTGAGTCATTTTAAAAGGTCATTCTTTTTATATATACTTTGATTAATATTTACAACAATATGCTGTAAATGCTTGAGCATGCTTTTTCAGGACTCCACCACAGCAAACAGCTTTAATGGTAAGAAACAGAAACTCTGCAATTAACAAAAAGTTTACATTTTTTTTGGATGATATTTTTAACGTCTGTAGAAAGTGTTATTTATTTATTGTGGCTAAAATAAAAGCAGTAAAAAAAAAACAAAACAAAAACAAATTTATTTCAAAATTATTAGCCCATTTAGGCCATTTACATTTTTTAATGGTCAACAGAACAAGCCATCGTTATACAATAACTTCCCTAAATACTCTAACCTGCATAGTTAATCTAATTAACCTAGATAAGCCTTTTAAATATCACTTTAAGCTGTATAGAAGTGTCTTTAAAAATATCTTTATTATTTACTGTCATCATGGCAAAGATACAATAAATCAGTTATTAGAAATGAGTTATTAAAACTATTATGATTAGAAATGTGTTAAATAAATCTGGTCTCCGTTAAACAGAAACTGGGGGAAAAATAAATAGAGGGGATAATAATTCATGGGGGCTATTAATTCTAACTTCAACTGTATATCAGTTACTATTAAGTTTGTAATCATTCACTTTAAAAATAAACCAATTTTTATTTTTTTTAGTTCATTTGATTAAAAAAAAATGTTTGTTTGTTTGTTTGCTTGTTTGTTTGTTTTGTATCAAATAGTTCCCAATCTGAGTCCAACGTTTTTAATAATGTATAGGATTGCATGGTGTTAACTTAGTTCAAAATCCCTTTGTTACTTTTGAAAAACCCATTTCCAAGATTTGATCCAATCTGTGATCCAACATTTTTAAAAACCTGGGCGCAAATCTCAATCAAAAGATCACCTTTAAGGTGTCAGCAACAACTGTGATGCTAGCATGTCAATAAAAAAAGAAGAGAATGTTTACAGCGGCTTCGATGACTGTATATATATTAAATTAAAGTTGTAATAAAGTTTAGTGAATCAGGGGCCCCAAGAAATTCCAGCTATGTGGCCCAACAGTCCTAATAAGCACCGTTTTTTTTATTTGAATTGTTTTATTTTTATTTTGGTGTCTATTTTTTTTTTTTATCACATAACTTTGTATCTTAAGGCTATACTTTTGAAAGAATAGAAACTAAAATCTGAAATCTTTATCTGATTTGATTGCTGGACTAATCCCCACTCAAGAAAATATTCTGGCTGGTTGTTCAAACTGATTGTTTAAAATGAGCTTAATCAACACAGTTTTTGAGGGTTTTTTTTTTTGGTGGTGGGGGGGGGGGGGGGGGGTACAACTTAATCAATTAGTGTTGGGACAACATGAAGGAATAGATTATTTTCACATTTCTGGGTTTATCAGTGGACTTCTTCATTAGGTAAACTTGGAGCGCAGTGAATGGAAGAGTACAACAAATATTTTTTTACAACCCTATTTGCTGAAATAATAAAAATTTCATGACTTTCAGAAACAAGAAAAAAATTGTCATCATAACAGTCTCGTGAAAAGGATGTATTGGTTGTTTACAAGGATTCTCCATAGCTGTAATGGCTTTATAATGTCCAGACTGTTTTCTGCCCTACACCAACTTTACCCCTCAAAGGAAATTTTTCTTCATTTTTTTGTTAGGAAATCGGAGTAAACGCCACCTGCTATGAACTGGACACTGCTTTAGTCTTTTTTTTTTTCTTAAATTTTAATAATTGTGATAAATTATTTGTAAAAATACATTGTTTCATTGTGAAATTTCTCCAACTTCATATCTATACTGCACAATAATCCTGCTGGAACTGTAATAGACCTGTCGGATTGTAACTTCTGTGGAAATAATTCCTCCATAAATTTTATTTCCTTCATAAAATTCATGCAGTTTTTCCTACAGAAAAATGAGCTGACAATCCTGTAGGAAATCTGCATAATTAATATCTTGTAAAAAATGGTCCACTGTGTGGAACCCAGCTTTTTTACAGTGCATAATTTGAGTGGGGTTTTTTTTTTGTTAGACCCCATACAAAACATGATAGATTTTTTTTATTTAATTAATCAAGAAACATAAATATATTTGTTGGGCCCCCCAGATTTCCCGGGGCCCGAAGCGGCCATTTACCTCGCTCGTTGGTTAAAGCCGCCCCTGGTTAAGGGTCTAACCCAGGGATGGGCAAACTTGATCCTCGAGGGCTGGTGTCCCTGCAGAGTTTTGTTCCAACACTAGTCAAACACACCTGAACAAACTAATCAGTGTCTTCAAGATCACTAGAAATCTATAAGCAGATGTGTTTGATTAGAGTTGGAGCTAAACTGTGCAGGGCACCGGCCCTCCAGGACCAAGTTTGCCCTATTCTATGTGATCATGCACAGCTCTATGATGCCATCCAGTGTTTATCGAATAAAACTGCAGTGCATCAACGCTTGAAAAAAATATAATTATATATATAAAAACAAGAAGCCCTTTGGAATCTCGTTGCTAGGGAAATCAATCATGAACACACTAAAATCATGCAATAAAAAAATACTATTCTAATATAATACAATATAATATAAATGTAAGTTGACTACATATTTTGAAATATTTTAATTTGTAATTTCATAACAAACCATGTTTTTGTCACCTCTTGAACTCAACATTATCATTAAAATATATTTTAGCACGTTAAAATCAAACTGCATCTTTGTTTTACTTTACTTGTCAACATCCGCAAAATTGACCTATTTTTGTGGCTCCTGTTTTTGGCCTGCCTCGCTGGCGTAAACAGTCTGAAGGCGTCAAGCAGACAGACGAACCAATCAGATCGCTCGTTTCAGGCGTAGCCAATGAGAGGAGCTCTTCTTATCGCGCCCTGAAACTCTCACGGCCGCCATGATGCTTGTTTGCTTTCAGTGAGAAAGAGCAGCGGATCAGAAACAAAGGAAACGCGCACTCGTCTTTGTGAACTGGTATGAGCTTACAGGTAAAACCAACACGCTTTTGAATCATTTTCAAAAGCATCTTGTGGCGTTTAAACAACGGAGCATGTTTCCCTTCCTGTTGCTATACGTCGCGGTTCATATTGGTGTAGTTTTGTGAATGTATAATCGCAGTTAGCCAGTTAGCCAACATGCTAATTTGCTCAATCTGAATAGAGGAAATGATGGATCGATATGAATGTGATTATTTCGTTTCAACGATCTACTCGTGCGTACGTGTTTTAAAAACTAAGATAAAATTATCAATCATGCGATTTTCTGTTAAGATGTGTTGTTGATTATATAAGCAGCCTGCTGTGTCCGTAGGGAAGCTACATAAGCTAACACAAAAATCCAATTTAAATACACAAACACAATAAAACTTGTTTATGGTTTACTTTGATGTTCCATGAAATGAACACAGCACTAATGCACATCCAAGTAAACCAGTGTACATGTATGAAAGGCCTCTCTTATAATCGCTCACATTGTAGGGGTCCAATCAAACTAATTCACTTCAGCAAATGTGCGACAATGCCATTTTACAATGCCAAGCCACTCAGTTTTCTAATTAACGTTACGTGCACTTAATTGACTTGTTACGGCGTCTTGCAGCCAGGTTGCATTTATCAGCATGGATTTAATTCGCACAGCTAGCAGTCCTGCCTCTGTAACGTGGCTCTGGGAAATAAACACGAGGTGGTAGTGGTGTTTTTGTTTGGGTTGCGTTGCACAGCAATGATGAAAGACCAAAAACGACTCGCAACTTGCCTGTGGGTTTACTGATTAGTTAGCGATTAACGCTGCAGTTATGTAATGGAAATATACTGGCACGGCGTGTTTATTCGGAATGCTCTCAGCTGCACCTTTTGTTTTTGGGGATTTGTAACACGAGTCGGCTTTCTGTACCACGCCTCGTTAGTTTTTCATACTCACAATTGGTTTTAAATCCATATTCTCATAAGAATCACCCCTAAAATGCCAACTCCTCGCGCATTGCCTTGCTGACGTTAGTTGCTAATTTCTGACACGACTCAGCAGCGAGCTGTCATCTTATGTCCTGTTTTTAAAATGAATGCTAATAATCAAAAATAGCCGTTTTAATCTTGTTTTTTGAGTGCTTTTATGCAAATTTAAGCATCGGGATGACGTTGAGTGGCGTGTGTGTCTGTTATCCACGTAATGGAAAAATCCCTTCAGCTATTGATCCTGGAATTGCTTTTGTGCGTTTCTGCTCCTTTTACACGCTAAGGCCCTTTAAAGTCATTTTTACTAATCATCTCACCTGTTCTTTACACGGTTACACCCACTCTTTCGTGAACAGCCCGTGTTTGACGTTCATCCCATATGCTGTGCATTTCCCCATAACCATGCTGTGGAGTGAAAGTGATCTATGTTTTGTGTTTCAGTATTACAGGGATGCCCAAGGAAAAATATGATCCGCCTGACCCAAGGCGGATGTACACGATAATGTCCAGCGAGGAGGCGGCCAATGGAAAGAAGTCAACTTGGGCAGAGCTGGAGATTGTTGGTAAAGTTTGGGGGTTCTTTTTGGTGGGCCTGGTTTACTTTCTTCAAAAAAAGTTTTTTAAAGTGGATTTTGTTTTGGTTGTAGCTAATGTTGCATCTTTTTTGAAATCTTATACATTTAACCACCTTTTTATTGTATTTTTTTTTTTTTAATTTTGGCTTTAGACTTCTGGTCTCATTCACTTCCATTTATTTTTAGATGTTAAAAACGGCTTGCAGAGTTGCTTGACGTTGCAAACTGATGTTTTCTTATTCTATTATTCTGCTTTGTCTGTATAGAAATGAATACTTGTTTGTAGAGCAAGTAGTTTGACCATTCTTTGTTGTTTATTATTCCTAGTCATTTTTCCCATAGGCGACTTAATTGGAAGTTTTAAAACAATCGCAAAAATGAGCACATTGAAAAATAAGTTAAATAAATGCTGCCTTTCAAATTAATGTTTAAGATTTCTTCATTGACTGCAGGAAATGCATTTCTATTGATGAATGTATCTATAATATTGCTTGGGGCATTTTTTTAAATGTTAAAATCAGGTATGTCAGTTTTAGGCTTGGGTCGGTATCGTGGAATTGTTATTACTTCTCTAAAATAAATTATTTTTTAATGTCTGAAAAGAAAAAAAAACACCTTTTTTTCCCATTTAATGCAATTTCGTTATTTTAAGAAACATTTATAAAATTTTCTGTGTGGAGTTTACATTTTCTCCCTGCGTTCACGTGGGCATTCTCTGGTTGCTCCGATTTTCCCTCAGAGTCCAAAAATATGCGGTACAGATGAATTAGGTAGGTTAAATTGTCCATACTGTATGAGTGTGAATGAGTGTGTGTGGATGTTTCCCAGAGATGGGTTGCGGCTGGAAGGGCATCCGCTGCGTATAAACGTACTGGATAAGTTGGCGGTTCATTCCACTATGGCGACCCCGGATTAATAAAGGGACTAAGCTGAAAAGAAAATGAATGAATGAATTTATAATATTTTGTAACCGCTAACATGTCAGGCTAAATAGTGAAAATAAATCATTGACTTCTACTCTGTTCATTTGTTTCAAAAACACAGATTTCTTTACAACACATAAAAATACTTAAAAAAAAAAACCCTTACATATACCTTGAGAACAGAACAGATATTTTTAGTGGTATTAAAACCTTGACTTGACCAAACCATGATAAACCTTGAAACCAGTTATCGTCCCAAGCTTATTCAGTTTCCATAAATTACCAGGATCAATCCGTTTAGTTTAATGAATAATTAATCAATTCATCATGAAATAAAATAATTGTAGGTGTCTGCTTCAGTGCCACTTTAGCTATGTTTCCATCTGCCTATTTTTCTGCGCAATTTGATATGCGCATTAAAAAATGGTTGATAGAAATGCCAAGATGCGCATAAAAATACATATGTGCAGTACTGAGTTGGAGAAACTTTTTTTTTTTTTTTTTTTTTCCGATAAGAAAAAAATGAGCATAAACCACAATGGAAACACCTTTACCAAACATATTCCAGTATACACATTAAGTCATGTGATTTTGTTATAAGAGATCGTGTGGTCTTAAAAAATGTGTGTAAATGGTCAAACCAGCAGCCTGACTACATTGACTAAAACAACATTTCAGGTGTTTTACATTCTTAATCGCCTTAACCATTTCAGTATTAGTGTTATACTAATACTTACCTCCAGATTAGTCAAGAGCATTCGTGTTCCACGTCTCAAGCCTTCAAATGCCACCATGCGTTCATTGTGTTTTGGCATTTGTCTTCTGAGGTGCAAGTTCTTTATTAAATTAAAAATAAAGATTCACACAGCTTCTCCTTCCGCTGCAAATTCTGTTTTTTGCACATTTAATTTGCATCTTTGGATGGAAACATAGCCATTGTCAGCCTTAGATAATGATGTGCAAACAACACCAAAAATGTTGTCATCCACACCCAAAAGTGGTTTTACTGTGAAATAAGTATGATTGTAAAAATAGCAGGTAACTTATAATTTAATAAAGGCATTTAATGATTGCATGTTATGACGAAAATTGTTTGTTATTAGTCCTCTGCCAGATATACATACTAGGCTTGGGCCGTGACAATTTTGATAGCGTCAAACCTCCTCCCTATTTTACCCCGGTATCCGGTGTTACCATGCATAATAAAAAACGATGTGACGTTAAGGCGCAGAAAGCGTCACCAAACTGTTGGCTTGTGCCTAAACCAAACAGAAACTGAATACCGTATATGCGACCTTAGGTTCGGGGTTACCTGTTTGTCTTGTTCGTATTAGAGATCTGCGCAGGATGCTCTCTCATTTACGCGCACACACAGGCAGCCAGAGAGAGAGACGCACATCACTACACTTTCTCTCTCATACACACAAATACAAAAAAAAACAGCATGCGTGCTCGGGAGCGATATTATTAGACCGCGTGCCCCGCTCCCTTTCAAATTACACCTGAGTGACCGACTGCTTCCGCGATTTATTCGGAAATTCATTCCTGCACCGCAAGAAATCTGGTCTGCTCCCATGGTACAGCAGCGGGAATGTAGACTTCTAGTTTGTATTTACCTTGTCTCCCTTCTCGTTCGATCGAAACTGGAAATACTGCCAAACTGCAGGTCACTAGGTGCGCAATATGCCGCCTCATCTCTCTCTCTCTCTTCTCCACACTGTCCTGTGATGATAATCAGGCATACGCATTTGTAGGCATTAAATAAATAATATTTAATATTTAATACTTGTCTCCTATATAAGTGCATTGTTTTTTTATGATGGTAAAACTGTATTGAAACTGACACCTTTGCTACTTTTAGATCCCGTGGTATACCGTATTACCGCCTAACTGCGTATTACACACTGGCAGTTGATGCATGTATCCATGCAAGCTAATACTTTTGGTTCATAACTTTTTTTTTTTTTTTTTTTTCTAAATTGCAAAGGATATTATCCCAATGTAAGAAAAATCAGGAGATTAAAAAAGGCCAACATTTACTCACGAGTGCTAATGATGCAATAAGGGCTTATGCTGTTTAGTTATTAGCCAACTCCAGAAAATTGGATAAATATGTAATACTTTTTTTTACGTGTGCTCATGAGCTAAACCCTCCCGTTGAGTTGGATCATATCTTAATCCATAATTTATATCGTAATTCAGATAATGACGATCTGATAATGTTGCTAATCACAAGCCTCCTATTCACAGTGCTTTAGAAAGCCATGCGAACACTGAACCTTCTCTAAGGGTTTTAAAGGAAGTGTCAAATAGTGCTGGAATTCCTCAGTCTAAGCAAAGTTTAACTTTTTATTCCCTAAAAATTCAATCAAGATAAACGATAGCAGTTGGAAGTCTTTGAAGAAAGGCAACTCCTAGAGGCTTTCTATAACCCGTCTGCGTGTGTTCATCCAATCAGTGATGCTTCAAATAAAGACATTAACCCAAACCTAAAGTTAAGAATCGCACTGTATGAAGCATTACATGTTGATGCATGTCATACTAGTTTATTAATATGATTTTTAACTGGGAGTCATTGACCTCCATTATAGGAAAAAAACATTGACGTGTATGGCAAATGAGGGATTTGCATTTTTTGGTCAACTGTCTCCTTAATGCTTGTCAGGTGCTTTGGCTGGTTTGTGCACTATTTTATGAGTTTGTCAACATTTTGCTCGGCACATCTTAGATTTTATGGTTGTGGGGTGTTTTTATCTGTGAATATTAAAATATTCCACCATTATGTACATTTTGTGCAAATGTTTGTTCTGACAGCAAGCACGTCTTCATCTAAATACAGTAACTTCAGTAAACACACCAGTGTGTATTTATTTATTTCTTCCCCATGCGGCCCGTGGCCCTAAATTATACATTTTACTAGATACCTGTACTTTCAAATCAAGTTTCACAGTGCAATAACTGCAGAACAACTAATGGGCTAAAATGATTAGTATTTTCAGACAAACTAGAAACACTTAATATATTTTTTGTCTATCAATTTAATTTGTACTGAGCTTGATTTTGGCCAAGTGTTTTTTATTTATTTATTTATTTATTTTTATTTTTAATAATTTCAAAGAAACAAAAAAGATTAATGGGTTCTAAATCTTTCTTCCCAAATGTGCCGAAGGTGGGCTTGCATTAAAAAGGGAAATACTTGAAGTATTTAATTTGAGTATTTACTTTGACCTGTACTTTATGTACTCTAATTATGAAGAATAATTGCTTTGTGACGTACTGTACATTTGCTTTGTTGTTATCAGTGTCAGTTGCGTCATCTCACTGCCATCCACAGATTACAGAAGTTTGCATAGGAGAAAGTAATAGCAGGGTGCATTATCCAATCTCTCTTAAAGGGATAGTTCACCCAAAAATAGATTTTTATTTTTTATTTACTTACCCTTTACTTTTTCCAAACCAGTTTGACTTTTTTTTTTTCCTGTGTAACACGAAACTATTTTGAAAAGCTGAATCCAGTATCCATTCACTTTTAACTTTCTTTAAAAAAAAAAACTTTCTTGTCTCTTCAAAATAATAAACTTATGGGCTTATGATGTGAACTGAAATGTTTTCAGTTGAAAAGTACTTTAAATTCTGACATGCTGCTATTTTGTTACCATGGTTTTGCTTGCTTGAAAGTAAGAATGTAACATTTTCGGCTAAAGCTAGGACTGGGAAAATCTGAAATTGTGATTTATTTTGTTGCCTTGTTTCTAGTCCAAAAAAAAAATGTTTATATATATATAATATTGTTATTATTTATTTTTTATTATTATTTTATTATTTATTATTTTTTTCCACTTTCACAAATAGTCAATTAACTGAGATTTGTCCTTAAAACAAACTAAATCTTATACTAAATCGAAAAATATCTATTATTTTTTTTTAGGTCTGAAATGCAGATATGTAGACATGAAACTAAATGTAATTTAGACTTTGTTACGCCTCCAAAGGTCATAATTTCTTGTGTCCAAATGTTTTAAACTCTTGAAATTCACTTTCACAGGTTTTGAAAACACATGCAAACAATAAATCTTCACTTTATTATGGTTAATCTTAGCAGTTACTCCTAAAAAAACTTTACCAAAAAAGCTCTAGACTCTACATTATAAATTCTGCGATGTGATTATTGTGGATTTGCTTATTGCGATATTAATGCTAAAACTATATATTGTGCAACCCTAGCTACAGCACATCATCTTGAGTTATTTTACTTTTGATTGCATCTACATTTCCGAATGTAATGTAGTGTTTCCTCTCTTGTCTTTTTGCAGGTAAAGTGAAGAGTTTGAGTTCAGCATTATGGTCCCTCACCCACCTCACTGCTCTTTATATCAGTGATAACTCTCTTTCGCGAATCCCACCCGACATTGCCAAACTAAACAACTTGGTGTATCTGGACCTCTCGTCCAATAAGATCAGGAGCCTGCCCGCCGAGCTAGGCAACATGATAAATCTCAGGTAAGATGCTAATTGACCGTTTATTTTTACACCGTTAGTTGCACGGCTTATTAAGACAATGGGAGCGCAAGTAGGATTGTGGTGTGATGTCAGGCAGATGGATGTTATGTTGGTGTGCAGATAATTCAAACCTCATATTTTGTTACATGTCGCTTAGCCTAGGGCTTTGTTAATTAGGTCCTATATTCTTCAGAGGTGATGTTAGCTTGCCTCCAGGGTCTGCACTCTGATAACACCAGCGTTCTCATATGTGGGTGACACAGTGCCTTGCTCTGAATCAATTCCATTTGTCACAGGTTGAAATATGTTACCACTTCTCTGCTAGTGTGATTACTGCTGCTCTGGATGGTTATAAATCTTGTTCTGAGAGGTGCTGAAATGCTACTGTATTAGGTACTCTTAAAAGTTGTTGGGATTGCATCCAACAGTTGAAATGAACCAGGCTACTGTAGCTTTTTGTTTAGTGTAGGGGCTCAGATGCCAAAAAGGCTGGTTGATGGTTGTTGTCTTGCATTTGGATTTTTGTGCACTACTTTCTTTAAAAAAAAACACTCTGTATGCTTTTGTGCTTTCTGACTGTCACTGCTTTTTTTGTCTGTTTCACAGGGAACTGCTTTTAAATAACAACCAGTTACGAGTTCTGCCTTTTGAGCTTGGAAAACTCTTTCAGTTACAAACGTTGGGTTTGAAAGGTACTACTTCCTTTTATAACCCATAACAGTAGTTTTCAGGCCCAGATGGACTTTATTTCTCCTTTTGTGCTAATTCTAGGGGGAAGATTGAACGTTGACAGTGTGAAGTTCTTAGCTAACCATAAATTAGTTTTTCTTATGTTAAACTAGTGCATTTACTCTATGAAAATTAGTTAGTAGTAATAGTACTAATAGCATTATCAATTGGAAATTGTTACAGAAAATAAATGAATAACAGCACCTTTTAGCTGATCGCCATCATGCAACCGAAACATGCGATTGTAGTATCTTGCAGGTTTTGTAATTCTTCTGCATTTCTTTTCCATGGTCTTATTTAAACGTACTTTACAATTGCAATCATGCCTCATGCCTTTTGTGTATAACCACATTAAAAATGTGGTGCTCAAGTGTTCCTAAGCCTAAACCCCATTGCACTGGCTGTGTAACGTGCAAACGTGTTCTGTGTGAACGACTAATTTTGACTGAGATGAGCCATCCCAAGGAAAGCTATAACTATGTCCATCTTCACCAGCCAGTTATTTGATTTTAGGATCCCATTTCCTGTTTTTTTTTTTTTTTTTTTTTTTTTTTGTAATGCATCATCGACTGAAAAAAAATCCCAAAAGTATCCTAGCACTTCATTCTCCAAAATCATTATGGTGTGAACCCCCTTGAATCTTCTAAAAATCTTCATAAATTTAAGAGGAGTTGCTTGCTGTTGAATATGCCTTTAGGTAAGCTATTTAATTTAATGGGGTAGTTTACCCAAAATTTTAAATTGTCACTCATTCTTGATTCAAACCTTTGAGTTTCTTTTTTTCTGTTAAACAATAAGATATTTTAAAAAGGGATGGAAATGTGTAGACATGGACATTAATAGTATTAGTTTATCAAACTGTTTAAGTCGATTACTTGTTAGCCGTTTCGAAGTTATTTTGTTTAACAGAAAAATGCAACCCATAAATGTTTGAAACCATTTGTTTTTTTTTCTATAATAATTTTTTCTATTCCTTAAATTAGATTTTTAAAATTAAACCACCTTAATATGATATTTAGTTTGATTATTACAGTAGGGAAGATATCGAAGACATCCACAGTAACCTAGATATCTAAAACTCACAGGCCAAAAAATTTGGTTCTGGTCCTTACAAATTTTTGGCTGTTTTTTATTTTTTATTTTTATTTTTTTAAATCTATTTGTTTTAACACTTATAGCTAGTGAAATGTAGATGTTTACATTGTATGTTAGCTTCATTAGATGCCATGTTCTGATTCCATAATTTTGCACGTTCCTGAGACATTTCATGCTTCATGTTTGGTGATTCTGTAGGAAACCCTCTTGCACAAGAAATCTTGAACCTCTATCAAGAGCCTGATGGGACCCGTCGGCTTCTCAACTACCTGCTGGACAATCTCGCAGGCACCAAACGCGGTGAGTCAACCATCATAAAGCTGCCCCGCTTGTGTGGTATTATCTGAAAAGCATCTATTCTTGTACACGCTCTTTTTACAGCAGATTAATTTCATGCAATCAAATGAGTCACAGCATTGTTGTCTGAACTCTCTTTTGATTAGTTCTGAATTACTGTGGGAATAATTACGATGTTCTTGCACTGCAGTGTGGCAGTCGGTCTGTTTTTGAGGTTTAATCACTGACATTTGTTTTTATTTCATTTTTATCCCCTGTAGCACCTATAGAACAACCTCCACCTCGCTCATGGATACCACTGCAGGAGCCAGACAGAACACGGCCAGCAGGTGAGCAGGTTTCATTTTAGCTCTGATTGTTACAGACTTTCGCTGCTGCATCTATTCTTTCACTTCACTTTTATACTGCTGTAACAGTTTCGAGAATTGTTTGCAAAAAATAAAGTGAATTAAAACGTAGTTTGGATTGAGGCAGTTTTACTTGATGAGGGATTGCACAGTTAATCAAATATTCCAAAATAGGAGGGAAATAAACGGAATAGAAATTTGTTAAATTAGCAGTATTAGTGTTTTATTCTTGGTGGTAGTGTTTTTCATGCTCTTCTTTTTTTATGTACTTCAAATAACTGAACTAATATCTAAATCCTTAGCCATAGTTATTGTTAACTGCTGCATCAAATTAACCACCTTCAACAACAGTCTAATATGCATGCAAGGTAAAAAAAAAAACACTTTCATTGACTTATAATATGCATTTATTTTTACCTAATTATCCTAGAGACTCCCATATGATTCGTTCAGCGGTTCATCAGTTCCCAAACCCCTCCTTAGTGTGATGCTAATCTGCCCTGATTGGAGCGATAACAGTCTGTTGCAATTGGCCGACTGCATTTAGCACGAGATCCGAATTTTTTTTTTTTTTTTTTTTTTTTCCTCTCCAGGGACAAATGTTGGCAGGTTTGTGTGGGTGAGCCCAATGCAGGAGTGCATTAAAACAATATTAAAGAATGCATTAAAGAATATTGCTCTATTCTTAACCATAAGTAAAAACGGTGACACATTCAGTATTAATCAACACAGTGGCAAAAGCTGAAACTTTTGAAACTTGAACACCGCACGTGTATGTGGGAATGGCTGGCGGTGGCCATAGCAATGACATACGGCAGTGGAACGTAAGCTCACAAATGCATTCAAATCTGTAAACAAAGCATCATGTTTTCAATGTGGCATTAGACGCGATATGAGAATATGAAGAGTTAACCAGATACAGTACAAGCGGTTACAAGTAGCAAAACAATAAAATGCATGGTTTGCAAGCTAGAGAAAACAAGGAGGCAACCATTTTAATTGAACTTACTTACACTTGTGAAATGGAGGAAGAAACTGATCCATGAAGTTCCATACATCAATAGTCTATTCTGAATTATCCTTTAACAAACGGCAGACATCCCCCGTTGTATGTAAATTGCTTAAGCAGCTCATCAGAAAAATGACAGGAACACAGCACAAGTCTGGGGCTTTAATGTTGAGGTATTTTTGCAAAAATAAATGTCAACTGCTGACTCTTGACTGTTTCACCTTTGGGTAGAGAAAATAACACAAACTTTCAATAATATCCAGCTGAGCACAGTGTCGTCGCGAAATGATTTAACCAGCGTCTGCTGCAGTGTTCTTTTTTTTTTTTCTTCTGTGTTTGTGGGCGGGGCTAGAAGTTTTTAATTTTCTTGGGTTTGAGCGTGCTACAATTGGGCGGGGTTTCATATCCATGTCATGCCGGCACGGCTAAAGACTAGTTATCAAGAATATTCATTTGAAGCACGATGAGTCTACTCTTTTATAGATGAATCAATAGTTTTAGATTTAAGGCTTAACTAGATATTTCACTTCACTTAGAGCTGTTACACACTACATAGTAGGTCATTTTCAAAAACCCATAATTTGGGCTCTTTAAAAGCTAATTATATTTCACAAAATAATCAATCTCCACAATACTATTATATTGAACATGCTGCTTTTTAATGATTTGGCTAATTACGCAAGATGCACATGAAATGGCTGTTTATTTTTCTATTACACAATATCCTAGTTATTTTCACTTCACTTCTTGCTTGCTGTAGTCTTGCTGGCTGTAGTCTTGGGTTTTAGCTGATATGCCTTTGTAAGGCTTTAACACAACTGAATTGAACTAAGGTTTTTGAATGGAATTGTAGGAGCCAGCTTTTATTAAATCTTTTTTTTTTTTTCTTCACACTTCAGCACTTTTCTCTGTGATGTGCTACAACGTGCTGTGTGATAAGTACGCCACGCGTCAACTCTATGGCTACTGTCCCTCATGGGCCCTCAACTGGGAATACAGGAAGAAGTCCATCATGCAGGAGATCCTCAGCTGCAGTGCAGACATCATCAGCCTACAGGTCTGTCAGCCTTTCTCATAAAGCCACAGCACTTCTGTTTCAAATAAACTCACAGCACAGTTTCATCCAGGTGGCCAATGAAATCAAATTGCTTCAAATGAATGGTGTCTTGTTGGGTGTAACAGGAAGTGGAGACGGAGCAGTACTACAACTACTTCCTGTTGGAGCTGAAGGAGCAGGGTTACGAAGGTTTCTTTAGCCCCAAGTCCCGAGCCAGGACCATGTCTGAATCTGACCGCAAACATGTGGACGGCTGTGCAGTTTTCTACAAAACAGACAAGTGAGTCTATCATAAGAACATCGCTGACTTTTAGTTTAGTGTTTCTCATTTCTATTTATCTTTTTCCTGCCATCCTTGGAGATTTGTGTAAACAGGGTTCTCACTATGCATGGGATGATAACCGGTTTCAAGGTTTACCACAGTTTTGAAAAGTCAAGATATTAAAAGCGCAAAAATATTTTGTATATATCTTCTATCTTCATTAAAGATGTATATATCTTTAGAAATGTCAGCTGTTTATTTTAATTGTTTTAATTATTATGACATTTTTACTGTTCCAAGATGTAAGGTGTGTTCTAATGTGTAATCTATTGTGTTAAATGGGGGGAAAAAGTAGTTTTTTTTTTTGTTTTTTTTTTAACTAAGTTTAAAAATAATTTTTACAGTAGTAAACAATACTGTGATATCGTGAAAGTGAAATTTTTATTTGAGGTTATCATACCATCAGAAACTTATACCGGCCCATGCCTAGTTCCCACAGGTCGTGGAATATTTCTGGAACATTATTGAATTTATATGTTTATTTATTTTGTTTATTATTATGTTTTATTTATCTAATGTCAAAAGGGGGTTGCACACCAGATCTGCTGCGTTGTGCCACACAGTAACATGCATTTAATAATTCTACACATGGATTACCATCAGGGTATGCGCATCGGCGCTGCAAGCCGGTGGCTGTCTGTGGTACTCATCCACAACTCGGGACACTTCATATTTCTGCCGCACCAAAGAGCACCATCTGAATAGTTTCATATTGAATAACATTAGAATTTGTGCGTCTGGTGTGCAATACTTACAACTGTCATGTGCATGCTGTGTCTCGGTGCATCCGGTGTGCGACCTGCTTAAGTTATTGATTATAAGGAATTTTTGTTGCATTAAACTGCGTAAATGTAATTTTCTTAAACTTTTTTTTATTTATTTTTTTTTATGTGTTGTATTGTTTCCTCCTATTTCCTAATAATTTCACGCTCATCAACTTAACCCTTGTCAAATGCAGTCACAAGACTATGCCTGTTAACAAAGGCTAACACTGCAGAAAGATGATTCCAGAACTTTGGCTTCAAAATTGCCACTTTAAAAATTTATTACAGAAAATCTAAATGTAAATATTGTAAAACAACTGCAAAATCAAGCTACTAGATATGGATGAGAGCACTTCACAGCCACACAAACAGGTAGTACTTCAGATACTGAGCAAATTTAAAATCTGTGGTAAATTTTGTTCTGCTGTAGTGTTTTTATGCAACAAGACATTCAAGCTAAACAATTTAATGTTGTTATGACATCTATTAATTTAATGATATTCGAATAAGCACAACAGCAGCCTGTTTTTCTGTTAGTTTGATGTCATGGTAATTCAGCTATGTCATTATAATTTGGCTTCAAGTAGGAACCCTGACTATGGAAATAACTTGCAATTCAACTGCAAGCAATCTGAGGAGTGTTAAGCTGGGTTCAGTGAGGTGCCTTTCTTTTGTCTTCACAGTTCGCAGTTCCTCAAATTCAAGACAAGTTCTGCAGCAGTATTATTGATGTGTTGCACATTACTTCACTGTACTCCAAAATGAAATTCTGGAGAGCAAAACCTAGTGAACTCTTAAGAAGCTTTGCACTCATGCTTGTAATACTAAAGTCACTTTAAAATACCAAGTAGGGCTGCACAATATTGGAAAACTGATTGCAATATTTTTTATTTTTTTTGTATAATTTTTTTTTATTGTGATTTTTATAATAAATGCATGACTTGAATGGCTTGTAAAAGATTTTATAGAAGTTTATATAAGTTTATTTATATAGCACATTTCATGCACAGTGGCAATTCAAAGTGCTTAACATAAACGGGACTAAAGACAAGTTTAAGAAAATATTAATGTGTAAGTGGTTATAAAAAAATGAAAACGAAAAGACAATGCGATCTGTCGGACGTAGCAAAGTGCTCATTCAGTAAAGACACAGCTAAACGCATGCGTTCAGTCTTGATTTGAATCTGCCTAATGTTGGAGCACATCTAATTCGAAGGTTAAAATATGAAATGACTCCACTATTTTTGTCTGGTCAACTAATCTCAACTACATTGCAGATCCCTGCGATGTGACTATTGCGGACTCGCACATTGCGTTATTGATGCTGAAATTATATAATGTCCTAATACCAAGTGTTACATTTACTTTCATGACTTTATAAAAAAGCACAAACTGTAATGTACCTCTCACTCAGTTTGCACTGTGTATATGGATTGTTTATAGTGTGACCTTCTTTGATGGGATTTGTTTCAATTCTTCGATAGCAATGTTTTCCAATACTGCAATGCCACCCATAATTTGAATTCCTATGGAAAAGGTGGATGGGGATTTAACAGCCACAACATTATGATGTAGAAAACCTGCAGAGAATGACTTGATGAACAGCAGTTGTATTACTATTATGTTTGCACATGCTGTCCTGAGCTCTGTGTTTGTATGTTCCACAGATTCAGTCTGGTGCAGAAGCACACAGTAGAGTTCAACCAGCTGGCCATGGCCAACTCTGAGGGTTCGGAGGCTATGTTGAACAGAGTGATGACCAAGGACAACATCGGGGTGGCTGTACTACTAGAGCTGCGGAAAGAGATGATGGAGCTGTCCGGTCTGTTTTCCTTCTCTCTTTTCCTTTCTCTACAGTTACACTTTAGGAAGTTGTTGCCATTGTCACATTTCCATTGTGACTTCACACTATGGCTGTGGGTTTTTTTTGTTTGTTTTGTTTTTTAATATAAATTGCTATTATAGTATTGTAAAGTGTGTGAGTTTGAGGTATACTGCTGTTTGGAAAAGTCAAGGTTTTAAACTCGCCAGAATTTCCTACGGTATATGTAAATCATGTGGGGTTTTTTTTTTTTTTTTTTTTTTTCTCTTCTACATAGCTGGAAAGCCTCTGCATGGCATGGAGAAACAGCTCCTCCTGGTGGCCAACGCTCACATGCACTGGGACCCAGAGTACTCGGACGTGAAGCTCGTCCAAACCATGATGTTCCTGTCGGAAGTGAAGAACATTGTGGATAAAGCCACTCGCAGTCTGAAGCTCTCCTCAGTTTCTGGAGAAACCAATGCCATTCCTCTTGTCCTGTGCGCTGACCTCAACTCTCTGCCTGACTCAGGTGTGTATGCCTCCTAATGAATTGATTTATTTTTATATTTAATTCTTGCTTGATTCCTGAGGAGACTTTCTTGTGCTCGTAGGTGTTGTGGAGTACCTGAGCACAGGTGGAGTGGACGGCGCACACAAGGACTTTAAAGAGTTGCGCTATATTGACAGCTTGACCAACTTCAACTGCAATGGCAAGAATGGCACCTCCAGCACCAGGATCACACACGGCTTCAAACTGAAGAGTGCTTACGAGAACGGCCTGATGCCTTACACCAACTACACCTTTGACTTTAAGGTTTGACTTTTTTTTTTTTCATACAATACTTCTGTCATTCACTTCAGTAGCACTTTATATAAAGCGTTTATTTTGTTATCCAAGGGCGTAGATTCACTCTAACCATTGGTGGGGACATGCATCCCTAGAGTGCATGCATTAAACCTCACAAATTCTGTTATGCGCTTTTTAAAAACATGCTTAACCAGTTAAACTCTGCGTACCCGGTACCGGGAACAAAATGACGTCATCGGGAGAATAATTATAGATTTAAGAGGTCTTTCTGCATCAATAACACCATATGACCTGCTGGGTGAAAGTTAAAGCTGGAATTATACTCCCACCTGGCACCGCATCGCGCACCTCCACTGACTGCGCGCGCACCTCGCGAAACGACCGAGGCTTTTATACTCGCTTTTCTATACTTCTTTAAAACGACAGGGGGCGGTCAGAAGAAACCCACCGTAAAGTCAGATGGATAAACAGAGAGATGGAAAGTTTCCGGAACTACATCATATCATAATATAGTTTAATATTTTTAAACTATTGATTTTGATTTGTTTTTATACATTATTTTAATGATTAAGTATTTTTATAACAATTCAAGATTTTATTTTTTTTTTTCAAATCACTTGCTTTTGTTTATTTCTCGGCAAAGTTTATTATAATATTAATCACAAGAGAACATGAGTTACTTTACAAATATATTTTTATTATGGCAAGAATAGAAGCAAAAAAAAAATTATATATATATTTTTTTTAGAAAAAGATTCTTTTTCAGATTTAGCCCCCTCCACAAATATATAAATCAGTGTTACCGGTGGAAAAACATAATCTGTATTTGTAATTAATGACAACAGAACATGAGTTACTCTAAAAATATCTGTTTTATTATCGCAAAAAAAAGCACACTTACTAAAAATATAGAATTTTATTTTATTTTTTTAGATTTAGCCCGCTCCACAATTCACACTTTATTGTCTGGCTAGTTTCTGTCCTCTTCTTATGCTAAAAAGGCAATGATGGTCCAACATTACAGATCATTATCACCAATAAAGCCCAGAGAAACAGGGCATCAGTATATTGTAAACCGGTTGGTTTAAATATTCCTGCCCAGTTATAAAAGAAATACTTCTGTGACTTCATTAGTTTTGTAACTATTAAACCATTTTAAATTCAAAATTAAACAAAATACATCAGTGTTAAACCTATAAATGGTGGAAAAACATTCTGTGATTGTGTACCTGGTCTCCACTTTTGCCATGGTCTCTTTTGTTTTTAATAAACTTATTCTTCAGGTTTTTCCAAACCTTTTAACAAAAACGTTCTCCTTTCCCACGGCTGTTGCTATTTCTAGGCAGGAATTATTGATCTTTAGGTTATCTCTCTGATCATGGGTTATTAGATGTGTGTACAGTCGTACTGTTTCAGACAAGATCTCTTCAAAGTGTATCATATTCCACTTAAATCAGTTGCGGCGCTGCGCGCACTGTTCGCTCGAGTCTCAAAAAATGCCCGACGCACCGCCAACAGAAATCATGCCGCGCGCACCCAAAGTGAACCTCCGCAAAATCCGCGATGACGTCACATTCGCCGTGCACGCTCAAGCGAACAAGCGGACTTGTCAAGTATAAACCAGGCTTTAGAATGTCTATTTTCAACTGATACACATCACTTTGATATTTGTTGTACTGTAACAAAGTTATTTACACTTAATTTACACTCTGTATAATATCTCGACCCCCCCCCCCTCCCCGATTTTGTACGTTGTTCAGTATGCATATTTTTCACATCGCTAATATTAGACACACATTGGAAAGTAATATATCAAATTAAAGCTCTTATTCTCTATAATAAGGATATATTGTTATTTTTATTGATTTACAATCACATATCCAACAGTCTTCGAATGAATCATAAAGTATAAACTCGTTAATTGTAAACATACAAGCAAAATTATTGATCATTTGCTCCGTGAGCTGCCGGAGCTAGCACAGATAGCCAAACAAGCTACATCATCTTTTACCTTAGGTTGTCCTCTGCAAAATGAGTCAATTTTCTGCGTTTTCTGAGGAAGTGTGCATCAGTAAACCCCTGCTGTGTCTTGTAAGTGCCAAACGCAACAAATTAGGGTCATGATATTCCAAAATTCTGGAAAATATGATGGCTTCGACCTATCCAGATGGATTACATATCACTGTAAAGGTGAGATTCTCAGCTTTACGCTGATGTATCGCGAGCCTTGATCAGCCAATCAGTGACTGAGATATTGCATGAAAACAGGAAGAGGGGTGTCCAAAACAGAATGTGTAAAAGTCACAGATCAGAAGCAAAAAAGCTGTGATTTCCCACCCTTCGGTTGAACTAACATAATTATTGCATACTACATGATAAAAACAAAATTCTTTTTTTTTTTGTGTCTCCTGACAAATGTTGGTAACAATCAAAACAATCTGCAGTTTGATGGAGCATACAGGGCCTGAGTTATACACTTTCTAAATCGGGCTTTAGAACAAAAAAAAACTAAAAGCAGTTTGTGTTGAGGTGGTTCATCATAGTACAGACAACACATATAATAATATTTATCACTTTCAGCAGTTATTTTTGTAATTTTAAAGGGTTTTCTGTAAAATGACTTTGAGATATTGCATTTATTATACTGTATGAGGCTATGGGGAGACTTAAAAAATAGGTAGGAAGAAAAAAAAAAGGCATTTTTCCTCCTTGCAGTTGGAATGGAATTATTCTGACATAAATTATTATAAAGAAAAAATTCCTGTGAAAGTGAAAGACTGAAGTAGTGAACCGATGCTGTGACACGTTATTGATTCAAAAGACTGAAGAGTCGTTAGATGCGGACAATATAAATTAAATATCACTAACAACTATAGTGAGATGCGATCCAGCGGTACATCCTTGATAAACTGTCCGAGTCCGACATGCACCGCTCTGGAGCTCCGACAACCCTGGAGCTCCGACAACCAGGGCATGGCAGTGTGTTTGGCTGTGTGTATGTGGTCACGTGATGTGCTTTTTTTAGCGATTGGAGGGCTGTTCAGAGATGCTAGGTAAAACACTGTGTGGATATGGATTATTTTCGTTCTAAAATGCAATTTTAATACGAAGATGTATTAGTGTAAACTGTGTGCACTTCTCCGCTGTGTGTTTGGCTCCTAATCAATATAGAGTAAAAAGTCCAGAGCTTATCATTCTTATTGACATGCATGTTATCACGATATTATAAATCGGTTATTGGCCCTGACTTAATTCTTATGCGTGTTTTGAACTGTTTCTTCTCTTCAACTATAATCATAGCTTGATAGTGCGAACCTTGTTTGGTACTCTGTTTAAAATAATAAAAACAAAGAAGTAAACATGTGAATGTCAAGCCTTGGTGCTTTTACAAATACATTTTTGTCTCTCATTTAACACACTTAAATGCTTGTGTTTTGCTTGCTTGAAGTTTGTGTTATAAAAGTCAAAGCTAGGGATGCTCAAAGTAATCTATTAACTGTTAACCGAAAGGATGCGTTTGCAACCGATTAATGGTATCAGTTAAACGATTAATTATTATTTAATATATTTTTAGTATGGCTGCATAAGGGGCTGATCGAATGTGTTTTTTTTTTTTGCGTTAAGAAGGGCATCTTTTAAATGGTTTACTAAAGGCCGCAAGAGTTTTGCACGTGGCTCAACCCAGAGCGGCAGTGTGTGTGATGTCAAGACAACTACAGAACTTTTTAAAGAGCATGGTTCCCGCTACATTCATTCTTCCATGGCGGGGCGCGACACCAAAATGCATCCCTTCACAGCTACAGTACAGCTTCCTATTCAAAACATTTAGTTGTTGTTTTTAATAGCGGGTTACAATCGCACCAAAACTTATTAAAAGGTAAGTGAATTATAACAGTGCAAACTTTTCTGTATTTGTGATGTGCGCTATTTGTTAAACCCTTTGAGGTTGCGTGCTGACAGACTGACTGACAGGTGCCTGATGCGTGAAGCCAGCAAACACAACGTAGCTTTCAGTTGGGATGAACATCGTTTCCATAATTTTAAATTATTTATAGATAAAGGTCTGTAGTTCTGCATACAGTGACTTTGGCCCAATCCCAATTCTACCCCTTAGCCCTTCCCCTTACCCCTACCCCTCGTTTTGCATGTGCCCGTGAAGGGTTAGTGGTGTCCCAAGTCTCTTTAGCTTGAAGGCGTAGGGCTAAGGGCAAGGGGTATACACCCCTTCAAACGAAGATTTTTCAGGACAACACTTAAAACCATGGGAGGAAAAAAAATTCCCAAAATACCCCAGCAACAGCTACATGAGGAAGGAGATCCACAAATTAGTATTTTTTTGTCATTATTATGAATTTTTATAACAAAAAAACTAATACTTTAATATATTTACAACCGCGTTCGTGTTTTACCGTCATGCTTTTTTAAAAAAAGAAAACGCTTAAAAACCGCTAAATTCCGCGATCTATTCGCGATCTATAATCCCTAATAATAACTCCTGTACAGCAGTCCCACAACATTCTGACACTGGAATACCCTATCAGAAAAGTCTAGTGGCTGTCTATGAGCTTTGTACAGTGTCTGCTATAATGTTAATGCTATTTTTGTGTTTACATTGAGTATGGGCACTGTGTTAAATGCACAGTATTACGATCTTAATGCCTCATTAGATCATTATGATAACATAATATATGCCTTCAGTGATTTCCTGAAGATAAATACCCCAAAATAACACAACTGGAAGCACTCCAGCAGTCGTGATCATCTGATCTCATATGAAGCAAGAAATTGCAAGGACATATGATGACGTGTGCAGGTGCTGTAGTGCTGTCCCAATTCTTAGGGGTAAGTTTTGAAGCCCTTCCCCTTAACCCTCGGTTGCAAGGGCCAATGGGGAAGAGGTAGGGGTACAAAAATAGAATTGAGAATGGGCCTTTTTCTTGCTGGAGTTTATAGCCGTTTCACTTTACTTCAGGACGCATTAATGCCGCTCCAAGTTTATTGGAGACATTCAGAAATATTCCTAAAAAATCTAATAAATGTTGTAGACATACGCGCTAAATCGCATTTCAGCAGTCTTTATTTTAGAGTGCACAAAAAGATCAGCGCTTGACCATCGTAAGTAATATTTGAGGGATGTGAAAGAGGTTTTATGCACAAGCAGAGGAAATCGGCGCGCTTTTTTCCTTTTCAACATAAAAGGTGTTTTTAGAAAGGGAAAAAAAAACAACAAAACTGTTTACAAAAAGTCAACATATGTCCGAGTTGTCATTGTCTTTTCAATATTTTCATAACGCAGCACGCGCACTTGAACCAAGAGGAAACCTTATCAAGACACAATCTTTAAAATAATGATTTCTATTAAAAATGTAAAAAGGTTTTGTGATTTTATAATAATAGCAGCAGGGCATTAAATAAATGTATATTTTCCATGGAGCGAGCAATTTGAGGAAGTCTGTTATTTTTATTTGACGTAAGAAAAAAAAAATATGATTGAAAAAAAAAAACAGCCTATGCTGGTACTTAAAAAGGAATCAGTCAGTGTTTTCGTTTTGTAATCTAAATTAATCATTTAAATGAAAAATTAGGGCAGGCCTGTTTATTTTATTCATTTTCTTTATTCTGGTTTTCTATGCTATTGGAAACATGGCAGGTGCGTGAAGATGTTCTGTTATTAATATGTTTGCCTGTTAAAATAAATCAGTATTTTAAATTGCAATATTTAATGTGTCAGACACAAAATAGACATGTCAGTTTAAAAAAAAAAAGTGTAATAATAATTTAATATTAATCTGACCAGTTAACTGTTAATATCCGATTAACGAGCCGCGGTTTTCGGTTAGCAAAATTAACCGAAATGAGCATCCCTAGTCACAGCATATTTCAGATATAAGGATTTATTTGTTAGAAAATACAGTATGCTTGTTAGAAGTAGCATGTTTTATCTTGAAATGTCAAACCACCCATGGCTCGGTTGTAATAAACGTTTGTTTTCTTTCTCTTCTTCAGGGCATCATTGACTACATCTTCTACTCTCAACCTTTGCTTAACGTGCTGGGTGTACTGGGTCCCCTGGAACACCACTGGCTCCTCGAGAACAATGTCACTGGCTGCCCTCATCCCCACATCCCCTCCGATCACTTCTCCCTGTTTGCACAACTGGAGCTGCTCCTGCCCTTCCCGCCTGCTGTCAACGGCATCCATCTGCCTGGCCGCAGGTAGTTCTCCGAGCCAGCAGGGGGAGCTCCGGCCCCCAAACTCCTTTACTCTCACAGAAGGAGGGCTGTTGTGTGCAAATCTGAATCCCTAAGGGGAGACGATGGGGTATGGCAAACTTTTATTCCCACGGATTTTAACTCGGACACTTATTTCAGTCTTATCTATACCACCTCCCACCCACTTTTCTTTTGTTTCGGTTACTGTTTATTGTTTTCCTTTCTCCGTTTCTGGGCACAATTAGCATTGTACTTTTTTAAAACTCCTAAGGGGCCCTGAGTGATCATGTAAGTTTTACCTTGCGATAGATAATAAAAAAAAAAGCTTTTTATATATAAATATATGAATAACTCAATGGCAATATCTTTGAAACACATGCAGGGAGTCCAGATCAGTTATCATGAAATGCATAATTTGGATCATGCAACTACGAGGCCAGTTTAGAGCAAGCAGCTGAATTTGATGACAAAAGAAAAACAGTTTCACCAGCTTAGGTCAGATAGTACGGTTTCCAAGAGCAACCCTTTAAAAAAAGGGCTTTTAATGTGTAAAGAGAGCTGGCCGAACTCACATTTGCACTCTGCGGTGCTGAGGCCTCCACGGATCCTAAAACGGCCCACCGACACCACCTACTTGGGCCTGGTCTATAGTCCATTGGATGCCAGTACCTTTTTATATTCATACTTTTAAGGAAGCAGCATTTCAAGAGCCAAAATGGCCGACTTAGCAAGTTGTCTTGCTTCATGTGCCATAGATCACCTGCTAATCTGGTGCATACAACAGTTTCAGTAAAGGGAAAGTCATCGGGAAGGGTCAGCTGTGTTTTAGTGAATGACCGTAGCCTTTCCATTTTCTTTGGAGATCACATTAAGATGCAGAGAATAGGGCAAAGACAAGCACATCCCAGTCATAGGTGGATAAACAAAAACCCTCGATGCGACCAGTAGACGCCTCGCCCAGCCAAGTCTCCAGTTCACTCCTTTCTTTTCATTTTTTTTTTGTTTTTTTGTTTTTGTGTAAATGTTTAGTTTCCTTTTCTCTACATGATTGTATACAAGCAACACAAGTCCTACTGCATTCTTTTTGTTTCCTTTTGTTTTGTACGTACACTTTTAAATTTGGATGAAAAAAAAATAATAATAATGATTGTATTGTAAATGAAAGCGAAATTTCTATCAGTTTTAGATGTTCATCCGGATGAACATACAAAAAGACCAGCGCGTGTAAATTAATTATTTTCAGGTTTCTGCTGTGTAAAGTTGCACTTGTCCAGGTTTCCCAGTTTTTACCCAGTGTACCAGTTCTGTTTTTGTTTGAGTTTTTGGAACGTATAGCTCCACCAAGGCAGATTTCTGGTGACGTTGTCCTGTTACCCGCTTTGATATTAAAGTACACATGACATTGTGCCTCACTGATTCATTTCTCTAAGCGCACTGCCAGTGCTATCGGTGAACACCTGAACAGCCTACAATATCCTCATTTCTGTTTGTTGGGTTCTTTCTGTGTTGGATAGCGAACATCTTTATTCCGCTGATCTTTTTTTTGGTTGTCTACAAAGTCAAGTAAAGTGAGTGTTTCTGCTGTGCCGATCCGCGCTCTTCTATTTTATCCCCAGTTTCGTTTGAATTCTGTATTTACTGCCACTTCCTCCCTCTCGACTCAGGCGATTCATTTCAATTTCTATTTTGCTTGTTCCCTTCCTGCTAGATCACGGTTATCTCCTCGTGTCGTGCCATCCAATGCCACAAGGCCAAGTGTAAAGCTCCATTTACTACTGTAAAGCCTGTTCTCTGACCTGATGAAGGTGATTTTATTTTGTCTGTTTTCTGCTCTAAACGCAAGGCCGGCGTTCCTGTAGCGTGGTCTGATTTTTAACTTTAGCGTCATGCTCGTAAAGCCTATTTGTTTTTCGTTTCCTCCTTCCCTTTTGCATTTGTCATGTTTTAAAAATCGAACGGATTGACAAGCACTTATTGTAGATCACTGGTGCAGCTACTCTTTGCTTCTTTTTTTAAATGATAACATGCTTTTGCCATGAGGCAGAGGTCAATTTTAAGGACTTTTATCAAGCAAGAGTAAATAGATGAAATGAGGGAGGACCATCTTCTAGTTCCCCTTTTTTTGGTGTCCCATGTTTTATTCCTCACATTTGTTTTGTTTTCCTTCTGGTTCTTAAACTGAAAGCGACTTGTCTGGTTCTATTGGATTGCTGATGGTGTTGTAGTAAAAAAAGATTTTTTGTAAAGTGTGAATAATGTATCACGTTTCCTTTCTTTGACATGAATTGTGTTGATGTGTGTATTATATCTAATAGTTTTTTTGTTTGTTTTTTTTTCATCTTGCTTTTGTTTTGTAATACTCAAAACCAAATTTTTTGTAAAAATGTTGGCACACTGAATTATAGATTTATATTGTTGCTAACCTTCACTTCGAGATACTTTTGAGAAAAGAAAAACTACGTTAATGAAATTGTAGTCACAGATAAATAAAGAGCTGTCATTTTGTCACCAAACAGTTTCAACTTTGACCCTGAGCTTTATGTGGCATTTCACCTGGTTTCAGAGCCGGTAGTTTAAAGCATATGAATGTTTTGGGTTGAGAAGCATAGCAGACCTTCCCTTTTCTTTTATAAATTCCTCCTTTCATAGGTGTTTTCTTGCTATCGCTCTCCAGAAGATAGTATAAGGCTAAAGGAACTTTCCACCTTCTTCTGAAAATGGTCTCATTTTACAGCTCCCCTAGAGTTAAACCGTTCAATTTTACGATTTTTGAACCCATTCAGCAGTGTCTGGAGGGAGTGCTTTTAGCTTAGCAAAAATCATTGAATTGGATTAGACCATTAGCATTGTTCTTTAATGACCAAATAGATTTGATAATTTTATCATTTAAAGCTTGACTTTTCTGTAGTTGCATGTGCTAAGATCAGCGTAAAATTAACAGTTGCTATTTTCAAAGCCAATGTTGCTAGGAACTACACATTCCGACGTAATTATCAAAGAACTTGCTGTTGTACTTTGCCTGCAGCAGGCAAAATATTCTGTCGCTCATGAAAGTCAGCTAATTACTGTGTATTCTGGTAAAAATGGGTATAGTTCAGGATCCGCACCAAACCAAATGTGTTCTGAATTGACATGAAGACAAGGGATGCGTCAAACCACCTACTATTGAGTAGGTACTGCATTTGAATTGAAATCTACTACTCGGTCGTTAGAAAAGTACGTTCTATACAATATGAATGTCAGTAGTATGAATGGAACTCTGACCTACTACACTGGCCATTTTGTCATCACGTGACCTACCCGCTTCACTCTCATTCATGAATTCTCTTGCAGTGCATAATGGGATAGTGTAGCATCCAAACGATGCACACTTCAGAATCTCTCCAGAGGTAGTGGGACATCCGGGTACTTCTCACATACTGTTGTTCAAACTTTATGAATTTGGACATACTGCCCAGCTCGCATACTGATTTTAGTGATTTTCAAAGTATGCGATTTCGGACACAGCCATTGGTTATATTGACAAGCTTGCTGGTTTTCAGGTGTTGCATAATACTATCTTTGCTTAAGCCATTGTACTGCTGTAAAGTTCATTTATTATTACGCCTGAATGAAAAGTGTAGTTAACTTTTATATTGTCTGTCAGACTTCATACACAATTTAACAACAAAATGAGATTTATACAAGAAAACGATTAATGCGTCAAGCAAGATGCTAGTTTGCTAATGTGATTTAATCATCTAGGCTAAAAGTGTTCCTGTCAGAGATCGGCTGAATGGATTAAAAAATGATAACTCGAGTTTGTAAAATGAGTCCCTTTTTATTTAAGTATAGTGTTCCTAAGGGTTCAATAAGACAGAGACATGTTTTATATTAACAAGTGTTCTTGTTCCCCATCTTGTGTTCTGTGCAGTGTCACTGACCTCTAAAAAAAGTCACTTTTAAAATTCTGCATGTTTAGATATTGTTGCCATCGCCATATGGATGTTTAGAGAAGTTTTCATTTCCTTTGGGTCAAAGACGACAATGGTTTCAGGTGGTGTCTTGTGCACGACAAGCAAAAACAGCGTGATGCTAATCATGTCAACATGCTCAACTTGGCAATAATGACTCGCAGCCATTTCTCTTTCCTGTTCTTTTCACATCCACTTTGAGCAGATGTTCTTGGCTTTACCATAGAAGTCCTTTTCATTTCCTTTTCCTGTTTCATAGTCTACTTTTCTCTGTCAGTAGGGGTAGTAGTTCAATGGTCAGGATTGTGGTTGAATCAGCCGAGAGTCAATAAGTATTTAGGTAATGTCACTATGTAATGCACTGGACCAACTCTTGTTTACCATTTATGGAATACCAGCATAACACTTGCACAATGTTTAAAGAAAAAAAGAATGTTGCATATATATGAGTAAATAAATATATATGGGAAAAGAATATAGATGTACAAAATCAAATAATGGCAGCTGTTTTTAATTCAATATTAAGTGTTGGGGATAAACACCTAATGGTAAACAAGGCGTTTTGGATTTCACTGTTTCTCCAGTTCTCTTGGTTCTCTGAGTAGTGATGTGTTTATAACAGGGTCAGCTTGTTTTCCTTTACACCTATGTATTTTTTCCTACTCATGGTTAAATAAATTCTATATCTGTTTCAGTCTTGGTGTTTTGTTTACTTTGAAAAATGCTGTAAAACTTGTTCACTTTGGGGTGCAATCTTAATATTAATTGTCCCTAAAGGAATTGTTCAATCAAATTAAAATTATAATTTATTCACCCTCCATATATTCAAAACCTGTTTGACATGTCTTTAACGGAAAAATGCTGGCATCCATTACTGATTTCTTTTTTTGCAAGTTTGTCTCTTGAATGTTTCAGATCAAATTTTATTATTAGTAAAAGATAAATAATTGCAATATTAAATTAAGGTAAGTTTTATTAGGGGTTCGAGCGCGAAGAAAAAAAAAAGTTGAAATTTTGATTCTCGCACTAATCAGTAGGCAAAAATGTTCAGTGTTTATTGAAGTTAAATGCTAATTGTTGCTATAACTTTTGAACGGAAAAAGTTACCATCACCAAACTTTGTACAATCATGTGTAAGGTCAATTTGAGGTCACAGTGCCAAACGTGTGTACTTTGGCCACATGGTGGCGCTATAAGGTTTAAAAACCATAACCATAAAATGACCTTAATCTTACAACCATTGGTCCAATCAGCTTGAAATTCGGCATGCTGTGTCTTTGACCAAGTTGTCATAACATACAAGGACATTGGCATATCTCAAAACATGGCCGCCATTAGCTAATTAAGATTGAGCAGCCATTAAACTAGGTTAACGATAAGTGATCAGAACGAAACTCGGTGGGCATGGTTGACTCGAGGTCCTAGAGATCTGTAAGAATTTTGAAAGAAATTGGCCACTAGGGGGCGATTTTGTGTTCTTTGAGGTTGTAAATGATTGGTTATTACACAAAGTTTTACACAGCCACACAAAATACATATAATATGATAGGCCTGCTCATACTGAACATTTTGACACTACAACCACTGCTGTCACTTAAACAGTTCATTAATAAATCATCAATATATGAGAAACCTAACTAGTCCCTGGTTTTTAGCTCAATCACAACGAAACGAATGTTTGAATCTCTGCATTGAATAGATCAATAATTATCAAAAAAAGTTGAACTTTCCTCTTTGGATAGCTGTAACAGACTCATTTACAAAAGGGGCGTGTCTACACGAACCTACATGCCTGTAAACAAATAAGAAAAACTCAAAACATTACATAATTTGGTGAGCACACGCGGCATATCAATGTGAAGAAACATGCAAATTTTGTAGACATCGGGCTATAGGTGGTGCTATAATAGCAAAAATGGTCCAAAAACATGCTAAACGGCTAAAAAATGCAGTAAATGTGCTTCATTTACACACTTCTTCACAAATACACTTCATCTACATATAATATGATAGGCCTGCTCATGCCTAACAGTTTGACACTAAAACCACTGCTGTCACTTACACAGTTCATTAAATATTCATCAATATAAGAAAAACCTAATTTTGTGAACTAGTCCCTTTTTAGCTCAATCGCAACGAAACTGGTGTTAGAATCTCTGGACTGAGCAGATCAATAATTATCGAAAAAAACAAAGTTGAACTTTCAGTTTTAGATAGCTGTAACAGGCTCATTTACAAGAGGTGTGTCTACATGAACTTGCATGCCTGTAAACCCATAGGAAAAACTTAAAACATCACAGTAATTGGTGAGCACATGTGTTATATTGATGTGAAGTAACATGCAAAATTTAGCATGGCTATACATGGCGCTATAATAGAAGAAATGGTCCTAAAAACATGCTAAATGGCTTAAAAATGCAGTAAATGTGCTTCATTTACTCACCTTTACAAGTTTACTCCAAGCTTGTCACTGAAATTATTTACATGTTAATTTTTTTGTCCATCTTGGATGTTTTAAAGGTCTCAAAAACACATTTTCAATATTCTATCATTTTAGCCACTATAACACAGACTTTTAAATGTCACCTACTATATTTAGCCACTAGATAAGACCACTTGTTGTTTGTTCATAACATTTGCAAACTAAGGTCATAGCATAAAACTCGTAGACATTGGCCACATGGTGACGTTATGCATTGTAAAATCACTGTATCTGAGTAACCATTTATCTGATTATATAGGAATTTGACATGCAGTGTCTGTCTAAGGTGACATGACTTGATCTACTTATTTTGTCATAGGGCTGCTTATACTGAATACTTTGACAATGTTCATTAAAAATTTGTCAATATGTAAAAACCAAAGTTGCTTTTTTGGAGTGTTTAATCAAACATTTGTTAGCTCAATCTATAAACTCTAATACTCTAATCATTTATTTCATTGTTGATTAAACTACTTACAGACTTTCTAACTGCTATATTACCTTACGCTGCTAAAATGCTCGAATCACATTAATTGCTGCTTGCAGCTATTATTATTATTATTATTATTATTATTATTATTATTGTTGTTGTTGTTGTTATCAAAGGAAAACAAAACCCAAAACAACATAGCCCCCTGTTATAACAACTCTTATCTTTCCTACATAAAATTTCTCTGGCTATACCCAGGCTTGCAAACAGGTTAAACCTGTTTGCAATCAAGGAATCGTATTCTGAAGAAGAATATCTGAATTAAAGAACTCCTGTATGGCTGAAGAAAAACAAATTAAGAATTTGGAGTGGCCTAGTCAAAGTCCTG